TCCCAACTCAGCCACGGGATAAGAGCAGGTGCTAAATGACCAGAAGTCAAAACCTCCAACCAACTCCGAGTTAAGCAGCAGGTTTCTTTCCTGCTGTTCTTCGACTTCAGCATTGCCAACACGCCAAGGAACATCGTGCGTCTCTCAGTGGGCAATAAGCCGTCATCTATCATCTCCCTAACTTGTTTGGTCATGACACGCCTTCTGTTGAGCATCTCCTGGGTCTGTGAGTGAGGGAAGGCTCTTTAGAAATTGCAGCTCAAGATCCAAAATCAAAGAACAGAATACACATGTGTTAAGCTACTGGGGCAGGCTGGTTAGAACAATTTAGCTGATAATTGATTGTCTTTGTTTTTGATACTAATCCCCCCCTCTTAACTCACTACTATTTGGGGGCTTTGGAGGTGGCCTTTTGCAGGTTCTGTCATGTAATTTCAGTATCCAACCTAATTGCCCTTATGCCCATGTGTCAGTTGAGGACACTGAGATCAGAGATTCAAGAATGGCGGTGGGGCTAAAACCTGAGAATGGATGTGGTTTTCATTCACTCCTTAAATAGTTATTGAGCTCCTGTGATGTGCCAGACAGTTCTTGACACCAGAGTCTAATCTTCTTTATTTCTTTGTTTAACCTCATTGGCTAACTTTTTTTTTTTTTTAAAGATTTTATTTATTTTTTGGCAGAGAGAGAGACAGCGAGAGAAGGAATACAAACAGGGGGAGGGGCAGAGGGAGAAGCAGGCTTCCCGCCGAGCAGGGAGCCCGATGCGGGGCTCGATCCCAGGACCCTGGGATCGTGACCTGAGCTGAAGGCAGACGCTTAACGACTGAGCCACCCAGGCACCCCACCTCATTGGCTAACTTACAAATCCAGACCCTGGGTTTCAATCAGGGTGGTTTTGGTTTTGCCGCCCCTCTCCCTGGGAACGTTCGACAATGTCTGGAGACATATTTGGTTGTTAGCAGTGGGAAGGTGCTATTGGCACCTCGTGGAGAGAGGCCTTAGGAGGCCACTAATCATGCCATGATGCCTAAGAAAGTCCCTCCCAGCCAAGAATTGGCTGGCCCCACATGTCAACCATGGTAAGGTTGAGAAATTCCGATGTAGAAGAAAAACACTTTTAAAAACCATCACAAGTGCACGAACGTGCAGGGGTCAGTTAGGCGACATAAATGGCTGGTAAATTGGACATGCCCCCCCCCCCCCACTCCGGCTCAAACAGACAGCTCCAACTGATTGTTGCTATGGGGGCCAGTGATATCATGTATCCAGGTGGCCAGCCCTTCCCATTGTTCAAGCCAGAAACCCAAATTTGAATGTGCAAATACTCTTGTTGGCAACTAATTTGAGCGTTTTTTAAAATGCTTCGCCAAACAAAACACATCTGAAAATGTGGTGTAAGACAGTGGGCCACAAGTCGATCAGCTCCCCGGACACCGAGGGTGACTTGCTAGCATCCTGCTGGCCACTGTCGGGACTGTTAAACAGAACCGGCTCACACTTCTTGGGTTTAGTCTTCAGACTTATTCTGTCCTTTCTAGCGAGCATTTAGTGAGCACCTACTATGTACTAGAACCTGCTCTAAGCACTCCGAACACGTTAACTCATTTTATCTTTCAGTAACTCTAAGAGGTGGGTATAATATTGCCTCTCATTTTAAAGACAAGGGTTCAGAGAGGTTCTACAACTTCCCCAAGGTGACACAGCGCAGGTGTGTCCAGGTACCAGGATTTGGAATCCAAACAATCTATGTTCTTAGCGGCTAAGCCAGGCTGCCCTATGGAAGACACTGCATCTCCATTTCTATACAGGAAAACTTACAAAGGACTTTTCTGGCTCATTAGTCAATTCAGGCAAGTCAACAGTCCCCCATTGTACTTAGCCTGTATTCCTTAAGAGCTCAGGACCTGAGTCCCTCCATCTAAAGCTGTGGTTCTCAGCTGGGGGTAATTTTGCTCCCTGGGGCACATTCTGCAATGTCTGAGGACCTTGTTGGTTGTCACGAATTGGGGGAGGTACTGCTGGCATCTAGTGGTTAGAGGCCAGGGATGCTGTTAAACCTCCATCACACAGGGGACACTCCCACAATAAAGAATTAACCCAGCCCCAAATGCCAACAGTGCTGAGGTTTTAAACACCTGGCTCGAAACCATGCAACATGCAAAAAGCAACCAGCAGAATGTTTCAGGTGATTCAGTCTGTTTATTTTGAACATTATTTTCCCTCTCCCCTCAAATCCTAGTCTTTCTTCTCTTGCCCTGGCATTTTGTCATAATGTCACGTGTCACTGTGCTCAATTCCGACACTGAGTAATAATCTCCTAATATGACCCTTACGTTAGCAGCAGCAGAATGAATTAGAAATAAAGATGAGCATCAAGGAAAACAAAAAGGAGCATTAAAATACAAAGTAAACCCTCAAAGTTCGACCAAAATATCATGCACATGCGTGAAATGTGAATTTTTTCTGGAAGCCCTAAGCCATCATCGTGCTCTGTGCCCGCATCCAGCTCTGATGGCCATGGACACAATCTCTAGCTAAACACACACGTGACTGCGCCAATTTCATAAAATGATTTTAATAGAAAAGTACAAGGTATGAACAAAAATAAATAATCTTTATCTCAATTCTAGCCCAGCAATTGTACACTGCATATAAAACTGATCTAAGCGGCAATTTCCCTCATTTCTTTTTTGCTTTTGAAATACTGAGACAGCATTTGAATGAAATGTTCTAAATTCAAATCGATACATTTTTTTGCTTTTAAAAAAATACCAACCTTTAATCATTCTACATCCATTTTTTAAAGTTGGCTAACAAGATGATGTTTCACTAAAATAAAATATCATCCAATCATCAGGTTTAAGTGTAAAGTTTGTGCAAACAGGTAAATTAGAAGATTCATTTCCTAAGTTTTAATTCCTACATTGCCAAATGTTTCCTGTATTAAAAACTCATCTCATCGTCTTATTTTCAAAACACGACCTCTGGTTTTCCCCATTCCATAGAGGGGAGACCAAAAAATACTTTTTTAAAAAAAAAATAAATATTTTAAAAGTATACTTTACAGTGATAATGCGGTATCTCCGACCTATGCCTTGGTGCGTATTTGCATTACATATAGGCTTCAAGTTATAAGTACCTTTTTATCCATCTCTATTTATATTATGCTCCACTCAGTCTTTGGGGACTATTTTTGCTAATGATCTCTTGGAGTCAGCCAGTACCAGTCTCTCATTTGGAGTCCTTATCCTGCTAGAGCGTCATATTTGATAATTCCACTGACTTGAATAACATTTTGCAAAAACAAATTGAAAACTGGTATTAGCAAAATTGTATGAGAAAAGGGTTTTGGAGAGGCTACTAAATCAGTCTCAGGAGGTCAGCAGCTCGAAGAACTGAACAGATAAACCGGACTAAAACTTAAAACAGTCGTCCTATTCCTTTAGCCCATAATTACTATTTTGAACGTGGCTCTGTTCGCCGCTGCCTATATATAAATTTTTTGTTAATTTTCCTGTATTGGGAAGATCTTGAATGCACTCCAGGATGAGAAGGGAAAATATGCTGACGCTCCTAAATGAAGTATATGTTTTTGCAATAAAGAACACTGGTCAATATACAACTGAGGAAAAACTGAAACAGATGTGAGTCCTAGAACCACAAGCGTTTGAATTTGCCCAGAAATGCTATTTTAAACACTCTATATGTTGGTCTACTGTTTTTTTGTGGAATAATGCATTCTTGGCATCCTTAAAAGGTTTCAATATGTTACAAGGTTATCCGGAAAGAAAAAAGCAAAGGGCTAACGTATCAATCTGTGCGGCGCTGGCCAGATTTCGGTGTACATTTTCAGAAAGCACAAGAACTCATATTAATTGCACTTAACACAACGAACCCTTAGTTTCCAATGAGTTTCATTCTCTGCAGACTGAGGCTTGCTTTTCATAGAACTACTTTCAAAGGGGCATAGAGACAATCCGTCCATAGTAACTTCAAACAGATGCAGTGGTAAACACAAATACACTTTTGGACCAAAATACTGGTCTTGGATAAAAGCGTGTGCCTTTTCAGTTCTTCTCTGAGATGTTACAACAGCAACACGCTCTAAAACAATTAAGTTACATGCATAATGCTAAAAGAATGTGAGCAATCCTATAACCAGCTTTAAGCCATCTGCTTGCTTTCTTTTCTTTTCTTTTTTTTTTTGAGGAACACATATAGGAAAGAGAATTCCCCTTTTGTTCCGTTACATATAGAAATCTTCTGAAGCTCCCGAAGTTTGGTTTTGGTAAAACTCTCTACTCTTCTATTATTCTGACGTGTAGCCATTCTAAACTATCCCTCATGGTTTCTCAAAAAACCTTCACATGAAGTATCTGAAGGACAACTGAAACCACTTACCAATATACAAGTAATGTTTTATTTTATATTCTATCTTCCATTTGGCATAAGCCTTTCGATGTTTGTTTTTTAAACCAGTGAAATATACAAATCACGCAAGACAGAAATATGTACATTAAAAGTACAGAATAAAGGCCATAGAAGATATACATAATATCTGAATGACAAGTAGAATATCTTACATTAAATAGTTTCTTTTAAAAACTAGGATTGTTAAACTCAACTCTCTTCATAAACATGAATCACTAAAAAGGAACAAAATCTGGTTTAGCAAATAAAAAAATTACTTCATGGTTTTTGTATAATAAAAACCAAAAAAGTGACATTTTAAACTAATTAGTGCTTTTCAATTTCAAGATCTTTTGCTTGCAATTCACTGCAACTGAGGGGACGAGAATATCTTCGTGCAATAAATTAAAGAGCCACAGGTGGCAGAGGTGATTATGAAGGCCACTGAGCCTAGGAGGGTTGCAGGAGATGTGTAGCTTTCCAAACTTCTAAAACAGCATAAGTCTGAGATAAGAACACATTTGATGGCACTTTCAGGAAAGAGGTGTCCTTTGCTTTAAAAAAAAAAAAATTTTTTTTTAACTAGCTATGTTTTGTCGTGAGCTTGATTTTCCTTACGGACTCAAACAGGTCCTACCAGATCTAAGAAGCACCAGTTTCCACTCTGCAAAACGAACCAAGGAAATGGAAATGTAGACAATGCTTCTGAGTTTTGAGCGTCTCTTGGTTTCCACGTCTATGACAAACGAGTAATGCCCTTTCTGGAAAGTGTACAGAAATGGAGGTTGGAGAGAAGGGGATGGCGCAGGGTCGATAAAAGAAATCTTCAAACCAACATGCATTAGCATTAAGACCTTCCAGATTCCTCAGAAACAAGGCTGCTTTGTGATGCTCCAGGTGTGATCGATCGCTTCAGGGCTGCAGCCCAAGCTCAGCTCGGAAACCTTCTGGAAAAATCCCAGTTGGATTGCAATGAAGGATAACAATGCTCTAGAGGGAGAAATAACCCCAGAGTAAACTATAAGTCACTGGCTGCACTGAGATATAACTATATTTATATTTATATATAGATGTGTGTGTGTATATATATGTTATGTACAAAAGACTTTTGAGATATCAGGCACCATTAAACCACACCCCCCTTATAAATGCAACTGTTCAAGTACACTAGGAACAGTCTTAGGGTACACCTGCAGTATAATAGGAAAAGCTGGAGTGGATAGTCTACACACAGGATCACAAGAGTGAAAGCTGCAACACCTCTGGGAACTCCATTAGCCATGTAATGTCATTAAAACATATAAAACTACTGCTCCTCAAAATAAAAGTTTTAGGGGAAAAAGTCCCTAAGTAGCAAACTGTTTCCCAAGTGGAGCTTGTAATGTTTCATTTCCTGTCCCACAATCAAAGGGGACCCAGTGGAGCTGCCTTTTGGCCAGCATCACATCACAGCAGGGCCAGGAGGAATCAGAGAGGACTTGGGGTCAAGCCCGAGGGCCGATTTCACTTTTTCCCCTTCACACAGGGTTTCTGCTCTGGTGCAGCCCTGACCTGCACGCAGTTACCTTGTTGTCTGGGCTGAGGATCTGTGAATGGCATTCATTTATTATTTTCATCATTATCATTTATTAACCAAGCATCCCTAAGAAAATTACAGTATATTTTTCTTTTTATATTCAATCCAACCTCCTTGCTTCTCTCCAAACAAAATGGCTAGTACCCAGAATCATTCAGGGATCCTTTCCAATCTGACAACCTAATTCCTGTAACAGCATCAAATCAGTATCTCGATACAGGCATTTTAAGGTTTTTTTTTTTAACTTCCGAGGCTTTCCTCCCTGTTCCCTAAGTTTCAGTAGCTACCAGTACAGGACCCTCTGCAGATGGAACATTTCAGAAAAATGAGACAAATGATACATCTCTGAGGGATGTGAGATTCTCGCTGTTACTTTTTAAATTACCATTTTGAAAATGTTTCAGGCTGGCAGCCCCTAGGGAAGGGGGGGGGTCTCATTTCGTGTTAGTTTCTCCAGACCTCTCCACTTTCCCCAGAGCATTTACAATTCATTTTGGTCACAGAAGCTGAATCGTGCATAGAGTTGTACCACCCTCTTCCAGCTGGATGCTACCTGTCCTATATTTGACCCCACAGTTGAGAAAAAGAAAACATCTTTCCTTTCCCTTCTAGATGTGCACACAGCTAAGGGTACATGTAAATCCCCCCTCAACCTATACCATCAAAAGAAGTCTTGTCTTACCTTTTCAAAGATGCACAAAATAAATATCTGTCTTGGTTCCCACCCCCCCGTTATTGCCAAATAATAATTATAATATTAATAATAAACCACAGAGTTCTTAGATGGGAACAGAAAAAAAAATGGTTTCGGTTGCAATGATGGGGGGGAATAAAACAATATTAAAAGAGAAAAATCAGAATCACTGTACTTTCTATAAATAAGTGGGTCCTGGGGGCGGGGCTGGGTGACGGGCGGGCGGCGGGCGCCCGCTATTTGCACACAAACTGGTCCACGATCTCCGTGCACTTCTTGCACTTGACGTAGCAGCACCAGTGGAACTTGCAGTGGCAGCGCTCCGTCTGCACGGTCTTGAACTGGTCGTAGCCGCGGCCGCAGCACATGAGCTCGCAGCCGTCCATGCCCTCCGACGTCTTGTTGCACAGGCGGCCCTGCGTGCCCAGCGAGCCCGTGCTCTCGTTGCGCACGCAGTAGTCGGGGCTGGGGTCGATGTAGACCAGGTCCTGCGTGGTGGGCGAGTTGAAGCGGCTGTTGACCTGCACCAGCTTGCCCCGGCTGTTGAGCCGCATGGCCGCCGCGCTGTCGTACTTCTCCTTCAGGGCGTCACCCACCTTGCGGAAGTCGGCCAGCTGCAGCCAGCACGTCTTGAGGCTACACGAGCCCGACACCCCGTGGCACTTGCAGGCCACATCGGCCAGGTTGTACACCGTCTGTGGGGAGATGGGACAGTCAGTGTACCCACTCGAGGAGGAGCACGCTGGTGGAAGGTATGTTCCCAAAGCTCCCCTCCCCCTTCCCCCTGGAGCCTCGGTCCCCAGCTCCGCCAGGCCCGGCCTAGTTCCTCCTCATCCTGCGCTACCAGAAGGCTGGTGTTGCCTTCTTTAAAAAGTCTACAAGATAAATAGGCTCTTAGCCCCTCATTAGTACACATCATGGTGAGCACCAACCAGCTTTTAAATGGGAACAGGAAAAGACCACTCCAGTTGCTTCTTTTTTCCCAGGAAAATGTTACAGCAACTAATAGGTCTTGAACGCTCATCCCAGAGATAATTCACAATTCCTCGCCTTCATTACCTGGATTAATCCCCTCAGCCAGCCTATGAGGGTAGTGCTAATATCATGCCCATTTCACAGAGAGGAAAAGTGAGGCCCATAGAGTTCTTACCCAGCCACTGGAACGTAGGGGTGCCAGGATTTGAACCCAGGCAGTTGGGCTCCAAGCTCGTGCTTGGTGACTTGCCCATGGGCACCCAGTTGCTAAGCAGGAGGGTGGGGAGGGGGGCCAGCCCAGATGGGATCAGGGTTCAAATCGTAGTCACTGTTATTACTGCCGTGTGCCAGGCACTGTCATCATAGCGTTTATACTATTTATCTCACTGAATCCTCCCAAATAACATTATAATGGGTTAGATGATGGCACATGGCACAGAGAGGGTAAGTGGCCTGCACAGGCTACACAGCTAGAATGTGGGGAAACCAGGCCTGGATCTCAGGCAGTCTCACTCCTGGGTCCTGCACAATCCCTAACCCTTCCCCACACTGCCTAAGATAAGAGCACCCACACCAGACCTAGGCGGATGTGAGTTTTGTCCTAACTCTGCCCCTGAATTCAGGCAACTGGCTTCACCTCTCAGAGCCTCCTCTTCCTATCTGGGAAGGGGAACTGTAATGGTATGAAACTCGCAATACTGTTATAAGGATAGAGTGAGGGGATGCAATGAAAGTGTCTGGCATACAGGATGCAATCAGTGAATCTGCTCTTTCTCCAGAGTGATGAGCCCATGGCATCTGGGTGCTGGTCCTGGGCTCTCACTGGGTCACTGTGGCCTCCCAGTAGCAGCGCCCACTGGCCTTGGCCTCACAGCACTGTGCCCAGCAGTCTGGGAGGTGGTGGCTGCCTATTTATAGTCGCCACTGCCCACAGCCCCTGTGCCAGTCACCCTGCAGAGTCGGAGTGGTGCTGGCAAGCTGCAGGGGGACTGTCAGGAACCTGGAGGCTGGAGTGAGCTAGAAGGCTCCTTCCACCCAGAACAGCTCCCTTCATCCTAGAAGGATTCATAAGGGGTTTTAAAAGGGGGGGGGGGGCAAAATGTACTCCCCTGGCATAAAGAGTTTCAGGCACTCAGCTAATGTGTGGAAGGGTTTTGCAAATGTATTTAACCTTTGCTCCCCTTTGAGGAAAATAAAAAGCTAATGCCCCAAGGTGATTCTAATATGATTTCCTGGCACAGTGTCCAAATTTCCTCCTCCCTACCCCCACTGTCCTGGAGAAAAACTGTCTTCTATGTAACTTCATCTGCCAGGATCCAAGGGCAGCTCACTGCTCAAGTTATAAAACCTACAAAAAGAATTCACTCACTATTTAAAAATGTAGATGTTAAATGACATTCTAATATTAAAGGTGCTTTTCCAACTCTCCAAAACCCCCTCTTTCCACTTGGAAATCCCGTGACCTTCTCTCCTTGCTTGCTAAGCCCCTGATCATTTCTCTTCCTGAGAGAAGTCAAAGAAATCCCCTCCATGGATGGAAGTACCAAATATGGGCACAATGGAGCCCAGAAGAGTCAAGCACATCTCTGTCCTGGAGGCACGTCTGGTCTGAGGCCCTGTAGGCTCAGAGTAATGGGACGTGCCCCCTGTGAGGACAGGGGCAAGCTTTATGGGCTCCCACAGAGAGTGGGGCTGACATGCCCATTATGTGGCCTTGGTCAGCTGCAGTGGGGAGACACAGCAATGGGAGGCTTGAGAAAGGAGAGGCCACACTCCCTCTGGGCACCACAGGCAAAAATCTGCCGAGTTTAATCCTTCCCCAACACCACCACATGCTTAAGTGAGAAGCTAGGTTAGCTGGAATTATCTAGATAATCTTTGACTTCTCTGTTCCCTCCTTCATAATGTCTAACAATTATGATTTATCGAGCACTTACTAAAGGCGGACACTAAACTCAGCCCTTTTGACTGAACCACGTGAAACTCTTATTTTACTGGTCAGAGATAGTCAAGCATTGGTAACTTCGTATGGATCCACCTCCTATATGATCCCAGTTAGTCCTCACATAACCCCAAGTGGTAGTTCATGCCATGGCCATCCAACAGATGTGGAAATGTGGAAACTGAGGCTCATACACAGAAAGGAACAGAACTGGATCTTAATCTAGATTTCTTTAATTCCCAAACCGATAGCCCTTAACCCCTGAGCTGTGACGCATGAGTTTAATAAAAACGTGCCTGGACTTGTATCTCAATCCATCAATTTTCCCCCATGGCCATGAAGTGGTTCTCTAGGGCCTCAGTTTCCCAAGCTTTACAAATGAGGGTGTGTGGTTAGAGGGTTCTAAGGCTCCTCCCAGTCCTCTATATTTTACTCTGTGATTATCTTCCCTTTTCCTCACCCCAAAATACAGAAGAGTGAAATCTCTGACCAGAAAGTTCCTGGCACCTACCTTGGGTTCTGTGAAAAAATAATGACCCTGGTTTTCAATGCTGCCAAAGTTAAGAAAAGTTTCACCCCTTCATTTTAAAGCAGCCATAAAGTGCCATGTGTTTAACCGCAGGAAAAAAAGGGTCTTTTTAACTATTGTGGAGAAGCTTCCCACCAGGGGAAGGAAAGAGTGGACCCAGAAGGCTGGTGAGGGCTTGCAAAGCTGGTCTCTCTGGGTACTTCTGAGTGGCCCTCTCTTCTATCCAGAGCCACCCTCTATTGGCCTGATGGGCAGCCCTATAAAACTCCACACTCCTAAAAATGCTGTAGTTTTCCTAGAAAAGCTCTTTAAACAAAACAAAACAAAACCCTCAATCTGTCAGGCCTGCTATCTGATGCATGAGGGGAGGCAAGGAGAAAGCAAGGGAGGGAAAAGCTAAGTCCTGGAAGCTGAGCTGAAGACTTTCTCCACTGGGCACCTACCAGGGTAAAGAAATCCCTCTCCCAAATGTAAGCCCAACCACAAACATGTTCTGGGGAGGAGGGCGAACTTTGTTCACATTTTTATTTCTGAGCTGGGCTGGGCAATTGCACTGGGGACTAATTAAAAAGGCAGAGAAAGCTCTTTCTCAGGCAACTGGAGGAGCACCTTTGCTGGAGGGGGCCAGGGCAGGATGATTCACGTCCAGGAGGCCTTTCTGGGGCATGCACCCCTCTCCAGAGAGGCCCAGGCGTAGGTGGGGCAGGAGGAAGGGAAGGAGACAGACAGGGGAGCAGAGAGGGAGAAAAAGCGACCTGAGACAGAGCCAGAATCAGAAAGGGTAGGGGCCGGATGCCTCGGAGTGGGGGTGGGGGGAGGGCAGGTACACCTGGAGGGCGGCGCTAGGCGGCACCGAGGGCCGGAGCGACGGCCGCCGGCCGCCGAGCCTCGGGACCCGAGCGGGGCGGGGCGGGGCGGGACTCACCCTGCGGCCGGCCTCGTTGTTGTGCAAGTTCATGAGGATGCGCGCGCTCTCGTACGAGCCCTTGGCGTGGATGCGCTCCCGCTCGCGCGCGTCCACGAACTCCTTGGCGAAGCGGTAGCCGTAGTCGATGTTGTCCCCGCAGCCGCCCCACAGCCAGTCCCGCGGCAGGTCCTTGGGGCGCGCGGCGCGGCTGCAGCCGCAGGTGGACAGCTCGCCCTCGCGGCACGCGCGGCTCATGGCGTTCACCACCCCCGCGGCGCTCACCGCGTACGTGAAGGCCGTCTCGCGGCTGCCTGCGGGCGGGACGCGCGGGGTCACCGGGCGCCTGCTCGGCTCCGAGGACGCCCGCCCGGGGCCCCACCCCTTCCCTCCCGTCCAGCGGCCCCGGGGCGCCCCCAGCCCTAACACACCGGGGCGGCCCCCACCCCCAGGGAAGGCCAGGAGAGCCGCCCCAACACGTGGCAGCAGCAAGTGACAGACCCCCGCCCGAGGTCTTTGCTGGGACACTGAAGGGCCAGCTCGGGCAGCGCTGCGTTGGTTTTTCCCTCCAGCCCCTGAAAATCCTGGAAACTTACTTCCCAAAATGCACATGAAAGAAAAGTCATTGAGGGAGAACAAAATGTGGGGAGACTTCCTTACACTTATTTTAAGGTTTGGTGTCATTTTCATTTTGAGTTACCTCCAGCGGGAGCACAGAATTTGCTAGGCTTAGAGCCTCTGAAAGTCTTAGGCCCTGGGACCCAGAGGCCCTCCTCCTGGGGCCTGGCTCCCCCTGCTCCCTCACAAAGCAGCATGGTGCCCGTCTCAGGACAAGGCTCTTGACATCCCCAAAGGACATTTCTAAACCTGTGTCTAGAGTATTATAGTGAAACTTGCCTCTTCTTAAATCCCAAGTCAATTGGCCTGATACTTCTCATTCAGGAAAATGGAGGTCTATTTTTAAAACAGCCTGCTGTCTTTTATGCTACTTCTGCAAACCCTCCCCCCCCACGCCATAGCCTTTGCCTCAAAGTGTTAGAATAAATAGCAAGAAGGAAGAAATCACAATCTGAGGGGAAAAGAAAAGTCTTCCCCTTCTCAAAAGCTGTAAAGGCTACTTCCCTGTACAACACTGACAGAGGAGTCCCATTTGTCAGGAGGCAAATGGAGGCAATCATAGACTACTTCAATTCCCGCTTGTACATGGAGACGTTTCCTTGTGTAAAAAGAAGCCACTTAATAAAAATGTAGTGGTGCCAGAGAGAAAGGGTTAACACCCTGCCCACTGAAGCTGGACCTGAGGGGTGCACTGGGGGGCGGGGGGGGGCTCACTTTCTTCAACTATAAAATAAGGGCATTGAACTAGATGCCTAGGAGAAAAAAAGGCCGATTTTGGCGCTGAAATCCCTGTACCAGCATAAGTTTCTCCCACACTTAAAGAGCTTGCTAACAATCTTTTTTGGGGGGGGGATGGGGGGAGGTGGTACAGCAGAAGAACAGATGACAACAGGATTCAGCCCCAACTAGAAGGGTCCGTCTGAGGAGCATGGCTATGCCAATTCCAGGATCCAGCAGGCTGCGTTTTCTGGAACTTGAGCTCCACACTTCAATCCACAGCTATCTGTGATTCCTCCTTCCAGGAATGGCCAAGATTCCTGGTTACCACAGACCTTCTCTCCCACAATTTAAAAAATGAATAATTTGAGTGGTGTGTTGGTGGTTGGCAGGAGGATCCAGAAAGTTCCTAAGGGGTGTTACATCTATCTAGCTCAAATGAGAGAGGCAGGGCACATCAGGAAGTGGAGAGAAATGAGGTGAGCAGATAGTTTCTAGGGAGTTATTTGAGGATTAACACTGATAGTATAGAATAAGTTGTGGCCCTGGATGGGAGACTTGTAGAATAAGGCAGGAGCTAAAGGAAGATAGATCAAGAGTCCTGTGGAGATACATAAACATAAGGCACTGTCCTGGGAGTAGACAGTGCATAAAAGGGCTTTTATACAAAACACAATAATACCACTTTTTTCACGGGTCTACCTTGAGCATTTCCTTTTTTCGCCCTGGCACCCAAACCTGGTCGAAATCTCTTAAGCTCATTGGTCACTGAAGGGAAAAACGTCAGTTTGAAAAATGCTCTTTGGCTGATAGCCTGTGGACACAGCCATCCCGGATGGAACACTGCTGGTTTAGTTCGGTTTCCCTCCCTGTGAGATCTACATCTCTTCGGACCCTCGCACCCCTTAAAAATGGAGCCTTTCTTATATATCTTTTCACAGTGTGGAGACAAAGAAGAGACGGGAGACAAAAGCTGGAGGAAAGGGTAGCGTGATGAAAAATGAGAAAGTTTCCAAAATGAAGAGTGGGCCCTTCACTGGCCAATTGTGTCCATACAGTGCCTCCCAGGCAACTGGCACCCTAGAAAAATGAGTCAAAGAGGGATGGAAGTGGCAGCCTGAGTTTCTCAGACACTGGCCCCATCACAGGGTCAGATTCTCACGGACACGAATTGCTCTCCATGTCCCTGGTTGTACTAAGTGCTCTGGACTGGGTGCACACACACACACACACACACACACCCCTGCAGCATCAAAGGTGTCTTAAATTTTCCCTTAGCTCCTTCTCTTCAAACAGATTCATAAATAGAAAAGTGAAAGCCAAGTAAATTTCCCACTGTTGGGGTTGGGTCCATGTGCCCCTTCCACAAAAATCTATTCTGGTTTTTCTTCCCTCCATCTCTTTTTTAAATAAATAGAAGAGAAGGCCCCAGCAGTGTTCCACCGAAAGCCCAGCAGCAGCTTCCTGCTATAAGATCCCAGGAACCTGGGGGGCTTTGGGCAAAGGAGGATGGGGTGTGCTCTCAGATGCCCAGGACATCAGCTAACTTGATGGTAGGATCTAGCAGGGCGCCCTCGGAGGCTGCCAGGAAGTTCTACTCCCACCCACTTGCCACCAACCCAGATGGGAGTACCACACAGCTGAGGACCAGACAGTGTATTTGCAAGGGACAATCAACTATAAGCCTTTGTACCAAAGGTTCTGCTTGTTCCCTGAGGAAGCAGGCTCTTTGAATCTTGGACCACATTTTAAATAAATCTCCAGCAGAACTCAAATCCACTTAGCAAATGATAGCTTATTCTGAACATTTTGGCCCAACACAGGCTACATAGGAAGACGAGAAGAGGATCTTAAATCAAAGCCCTGTTCCAGTGACGACACAGAAAAACCATTCCAATTGCTGTTTTGCTTCCTGGTTACTATCAAAAATGTACGGCTTTTGCAAACTCACACACATGTGAAAAAATGCTCCCAGAGTTTGAGAGGAAGGCAGTTTAGGGGGAATATATATAAGGCAACGCTGACAACTTACCATTTTGATCCAGCTAAAACAAACCAACAAACAAACCAGTTGTGAGCTTACTCGCAATATGACAATGCAGAAGAGAATCTCCACCACCCCAGTTAACTACAGAGGGCCGTCCACGTTCAGGGCAAGCTCCTGTGTTCCTGCCGCTTAACTCCTAGATTCAGATCCCAGTATATACATTAGCACATTTTAATCATTAACAGGAAGGACAAAGCCCTATGAAACTGCAGGCTGAGAGCTGCAGACCATTTTGCCATTCAGTTAGAGGAATGGCTTCCAGTCCTTGTATTATTTTAGTATATGAAGTCGCTGGGCTCAAACATCCACTGACAACTCTTTTTTGTTCTCAATGAATGCACTTTTCAGGGTTTTTAAAAAAGCATTTTATCCATCCGTGACGGATATTAAGCCAACTTTTTTATCTTCAGTCAGTCTAAACAGTTAATTGCTTTGATAAATGGCTTCTTATTTTAGGAATCACCGCGGTCATATTAATTATAAGGGCTTATTTGCGTAATACCAAATGGACCTAAAATATTCACACTAGAAAGCACATACAGGATCACATCTGTCAGACAGTATCCCATGCTATTCAGCCAAACCAGAGGCAAACCAGTTTCCAAATTCTTTGCCTTTAGCCCCATTTTTTTTAAGATTTTATTTATTTATTTGAGAGAGAGAATGAGAGACAGAGAGCATGAGAGAGAGGAAGGTCAGAGGGAGAAGCAGACTCCCTGCCGAGCAGGGAGCCCGATGCGGGACTCGATCCCGGGACTCCAGGATCATGACCTGAGCCGAAGGCAGTCGCTTAACCAACTGAGCCACCCAGGCGCCTGCCTTTAACCCCATTTTAATGCCTCCTCCTCCCTGCATGCAATACCAAGTTCAACGATACGTTTAACATAAAGAATCTGACTGTGAGCAATACATTTAAGACTTTTTTTTAAGTTTCTAGCATGTGCTTTTGTATCAATTGCCAAAATCGCAACGTAAATTGGATCACTTCTAATTAAAATTCTTTCTGGGACTAAAAATAAAGCTTCGAACATATATATCTCTATAGCCTCAGGAAATATCTATATTAGGAAAATTAAAACCTTATTCACTTCCAGCATAGCCAGCATTCGAAAGATGACAGTATTTAGTTTGATGCGTGGGCCATTTGAATTGTGGCTTAAGAGACTTCTAACCGTTCAAAGAGTTTTGAAGTTTAAAAGGATATAAATGACTCATCTTTCCTCACCTCCTTTTGAGAAACCAACATAAGCGTTCTGCTTCTCTTCCAAACAGAAGGCGTTTTAGAAAAAAAAAAAAAATGCAGCGTTCAGAAAAATGAAGGTGTCTCTGATGCTTCCCTTCCGATTTGGCTAAAGGAGTGAGCGCCCCCAAACTTATTATCATCAAGGTGTGGGAACCGGCATTAAAGCCCACAGAAGTAGTGACCAACACTCCCCCGCCCTCATCCTGCTGGAAGATTCCCTCCTTAGCAAGCTCCCAAGTGCATAGGGAAGCCCTTCTGCAGGAGAAGGCTTGGTTTGTATTTAAACATCTGTTACGCAGTGTCCTACCTATCTGCATGACCCGGCCGAACACAGAGGTGTTGTCCACGGTGCTGCAGTTCCACCGCCGATGCCGGAATTGATACTGGCACTCCTTGATGCCCGTCTTCGCGCCTTCTCCAATGTACTGCATGTGGTCTTGGTACAAGTGGCACAGTTTCTTCTGTCCTTGAGAAAGTCCTGCCAGCTGGCTGCAGAGAGGCTGCGCTCCTATGATATATACTTCTGACATCTGAACGGGGTTATTCATACCTAGCGACCTAGAAAGGGTGGGTGGGGAGGGGGAGATGTGCATTCAAGATTTACGTGAACTCTTGAGGTAGGCCCCCTGAACGCATGTCAGCGAGACAGAGTTTTCAGCACACAGATGCATTTTCTCTCCAGCTTGTCCTCATGACAAAGTAGAAGGGCTTCATAAAACTCCTCTGTTCAAACTGTGCTCAGAAAACGGAGGTATTGTGTGGTCCCCACCCCGCCATCTGGCTCCTCAGTTAGGTTTTCACTCTGTTCCTTGCCCTCCTTGCCATCTACCTGGTGTTTCTGAAATGCGCTCAGAAAAGGGGGAGATGGCGGTTTGGGGGACAGGCCTCTGACATTAGAGAAATTGACTCACTTTGCCCCACAAATTGGACGGATCTGCCTTGAAAGCGTATGAATGCCCAAAGTAGACACAACTAGACACGGGGTGGAGGAGATAGCAGCTCCCTCTGGCCGATGGAAGAACAGGGACACAAGTCGAGGGACTGAAGAAAATTCACCATGTTCTGGACATTTTAAAAGGGCCCCTTATGTGATTGTGAAAGACCCAAAACAGGGTATCCAGTGAATACAAGTCATGTTTGACAGTCAGAAAAAACACTGTTCATTTACAGGGAAAAAATATCCAGAACGCCGTCAAAAATAATCCTCTGGATATACTGCAGTCTATCTACAAGGCCCCTAACCAGAGAGAAACGCTCATTTAGGGACGTTTGACTACTTCATGTTCACCTCCTTTTGATCAAATTTCAAGCCCCAATACTTCCCCCACTTGGAGTGTAGCTGTCTTCCTAGAACACTCTGCCTACCTCAGACCCTGAAGGTTAATAACCTCAAGTGACAGAAAATAAAAGCTGGAACTCACTTTTACTACCTAGAGGTGGCAAAAGTAAATTTTATAGATAGGCTTACAATTATTAGAGAAGTGAATTTCGGTCCCCTTTTATTACATGATGTACTACAAGCAGACATCTGAACAAGGGCCTCATAGAAAAAGGTGTAGATTTATAGGGTCCCATTCCCTACGGAGCTAAAGATTAAGTTTGACGATATTAACAAGTTAAAAGAAAATTCTGATTTCCAGATATATAAACAAAATACATTATACACGTATATACCAGATAAAGGCACTCAAACTCACAATTCAGCTTTAAATACTGTAGCATCGTACCCATAATCTTTAAAAAAAATAAAAATAAAACAAAGAATATGTACTTAGAAGGAACTTACCACCAAGAATTGGCTTCTATTACAACCTGGGCGAAGGAGAAAAATATGGCCAAAGCCATTAGGAAGAACTTGGAAGACATTGCACTTCCAGCCGTCCCCAAAGCAACTCCTGGGCTTAATATTCCAATCGACTTCTGGAGAGGGAAGAAAGGAGCAGATGTTTATTGCCTCTCAGATAATTTTCAAGCATACAAGTTTAAACAACGGAAGCATCCGGGGTCTCTTAAGTTTACTGTTGATTGACTGCGCTTCTCCTCCGTGAGTTTTTTGATGGCAAGATACAGGCAGTTTCTTTTTCCAAATTAATCCACCCACGCAACCTCACCAGGAAATCTGATTTCGCTGGGATCCTGCGCGCGCGGCACGCCAGCGATTACAAACATGTCTCAATGCTGTTGAGTCAAAGCCCCGGTGCCAAGCGCTGCCTCTGTACTGCTTGTTCGCTTCCCGCACCCCCTCGCTCCCCTCTAGTCCGCGCTGTGCTGGGTCCCTCCTCGGGAATTCACTCGGGAACCCGCAGCCACCCTCGTCCGCTCCCCGACCTGGGCCGAGCAACAAGTGGAGCCGGAATTAATTCCATGGGCGAGGAGCGCGTAGGCGAGTGGAGCACGCCGCCGGCGGCTGCGGAGGAGGCGGGGTGGCCGGCGCGGGGGTGGGGGGTGGGGGTGGGGGCAGGACGCGGGAGGGAAGGGCAGGGGGTGGGGGGCGAGGCCCCGGGGAGCGGCGTGCGCGAGAGTGCCCAGCTGGGAAATGCAGCTCGGAATTAACAGCGTATGTTTCCTAATCAGTTTACAGGCCGCTTTGAGGGAAGCCACTTCCAGAGGGGGAAGGGCCGCCTGGGTTTCCTTAGGACACTGTTCAACCGGACTGGAGTGGGGAGGAGATGGGGGGCACTGGGGATAACGGGGAGAGAGCTCTGCTCTCTCAACCAAGGAAACCGGAAAAACAGTGCCCCCTCCCCTGCCTGCAGCCTCCTTCTGCAACTCAAGTGTACCCCCGAGAAGGGGACAAGGGAGAGTACCCCTGAGGGAAGAAGGGGGTCCGGGTCCCTCTGTCCTCCCTTCCCTGCCCTCCCACAAATTCTGATTTTTCATTTCACTCTCCTTCCCGCCCCCCTTCTGTCCCGACTCCTGACAGCTGCCACGGAGAAAGAGGAAAGGACGCCAAGGGGGACTCCAGTTTCCTTTGGTCTCGGTCTGGGGTTGTCGGCCACTTCGCCATCGCGGCCCTGTGAGTCTGGCCTTAGAACACCTCCACCCCACCCTCCAGCCCGATTCAGACTCGGTTCGGTAAGTTCCGAACGGTGAGAGTGCAGGGCGAGGCCACAGCCGGTGCGAGTGAGCCCTCGGCGGGGCCAGAGATGCGCTGGCTCCCGCGCCGCGGCGGAGCCCCTGGATTCCAGGGCGCAGAGGGCCCCGGCGGCGAAGGTTCCCGTCGTGAAGAATTTCGCGGGCAGGGGGCGGCCTTGGAAGCTTTCGCGGCCGTTCCTCCCCACTGGTGACTTCTCCACCTGTAGGCGGCGGGGGCGCGAGACAGTGGCGCGTGCGGGTGGGAGGAGCGGCTTTCCAAAATCCCCTTTTACGTTTCTGATAAGTGTAACCCGGCTGTGCTGCACCACCCGCAGGCCCCGAGGGAGCCCCTTCCTCGGGAAAGCAAAGGTGAGCCTCCTCAAGGCGGCCGAAGGGCCTGGAACGTGAGCCGTCAAAGGGACAGAGAGGACCTAGGCAGCCCTGGAAAAGCGAGGGGGCCCAGGAGCGTGCCAAGGTTTTTCTATGCCCGCCGTCCTTTTGACCAGGACAGCTCGGGGCTTCTCCAAGAGGAAATGCTTATGTGGTCCCCGGTGCCCGCTAACCGGGGCTCTGAGCCCTTGGCCCACTCATTGTCCAAACGCCGCAAAGCTAGGGGCGCATCCCGGAGAATAGAAACCTGGGGTTTCCCCAGCCTAGGAGAGAGAAGGCTCCGTCTCCCTCCCCACCCCCGCCCGAAGTGTCAAGTTTCCTCCAGGGGAGGGGGTGGGCTGCGAGGTCTAACGTCGCGCGCGGCCCAGGCTGCAAAATCGCCTCTCCCCCTCCGCGGCCAAGGCCGCGCGCGCACACACACTCACAACACACCCATGCACATTCACACACTCAAACGCGTTCATAGACACACAAGCACCGACGTGCTTACGAGACGCCCGCGGAGATGGCTGCTGGCCGCGCGCACTTTCCGAGCTTCCCGACGGGCGGGGCGAGCGGGGCGGGGCACAGGCAGCAGAGAAATTGATAACAGATTCGGCGGATTACAGCGGATCTCTTTGTTAGAGGCGAAGCCACACAACCCGAACCGACTTTGGGACCGATGACCCCGGGGAGAGTCCGCCCGTTCCTAACTGGGAGTGGGTCACTGGGTCTTCGAGACTCAGGTCTCCCCAGCTCCAGACTGGGGGCAGGCCAGAGGTGTCCCAAAGGGGATCCGGCAGGAGAGCCCTGCGAGCCGCGTCTCCACTTAACCCCGCGTGCTTGCCCGGAAACAGCTTGGCCCTCTTCCCGCTCCAACCCCCGTGCAACCCCCCAAAAGGTCCCCACAAGTTTGAAGGACTGAAAGAACCCACAGCGAACTCACTAATAAATACATCGACTCTGTAGGGTAAACACCCCTGCCTGTTTACCAAGAGATCTGATCCGAAAAGACAGTACGAAATGAGACCTCTCCGGAGACGGTCACGCCGGGGGTAAAACAAAAGTTCTGGGCGGAGGCTGAGTTTACTAAAGAACGGGCTAAATGTTTTCGAACACTTTCAGGGCCATGAGAAGCCCACTTACGTAAGAATCCTCAGAATCTGTTCTAGCATGCGATGGGGTGGAGGATTGCGGGCACTTGAGAGGTTCTAGCGCAGGGGAGGGCTGAGGTGGGGGTAGGGCATTCGTGCGCCCCAGTTTCCAAAGCCAGAGCAGCTCAACGCAGTGATGCTTATTCTGTCTTTCCAAAGCCTCCGCATTGGATTGAAGGTGTTCCTAAACCTTCTTTATCCACTGGGGTGCAGGCTGGGGGTGATGAGGGATGGGAGAGAGGAAATCATCACTCTGGTTAGAGGAGGTTCCCCAGCCACAGAGAGCGTCCGAGAGGGCGCCCAGCACCCAAGTCCTCAGCCCCGCGGCCCCTAAAGAGAAATTCCGCAAAGGCAGGAAGAAGATTCTCGACCCTCACCCACGGGCACTACCTCATTCGGTCTGGGCATCCCTTTCCACTAGGTTTTTTGCGTCCAGGGTCCCCCAAGTCTGGGAGAATGGAAATGAAGGGGGAGACCAGCTAGGAGTCAGAAATGAGTTTCACCTGGGCTCGCGGTGGCTAAAAAGATAAGAAACTTCAAGAATCCTTGCTCTTGGTAGGAAATAAACTTTGTTTTCCCCACTGTGATCTCTCCCTAAAGGAGAGAAACAGAAAACTGCGGGAGATAAAAGGCTGCACCACAAAGTTGGGACGTCCCGCCCCAGGAAGTGCCAAGAGAGAAGCGGGAGCGGATTAGGATGAGCCTGGTGAGGCCCACAGGAGGTCCGCTTTGGGGGAGCGGACAAGGACGTAGAGCTCCCCTAAGCCTCTAGCCTGGGCTCAGGGGGACCGAGGCCACCCCTCACTGTCTTGCGTCCACAGCGCTGCATTTGTGTTGTGTGTGTTGGGGGCGGGGGTGTGGGGAAGCCCGAGAGAGAAGGTGGAGGGAGCTTCTTGCGACTAAATCGGTGCAAGGACTGCCCCGGCTCAGGACTGAACAGCAAGTCCGAGAACAAGGAGTCTCCAAAGGAAGAGCGGTGGCCAAGCCCGGTTCTGTTCTCTGTCTCCCCACTTCCATCCCAGGACAAGCCTCTTCAGACTTCAAGACTCTCTTTCTCTCTCTCTCACATCACTTACACCTTCTTACACCGGTTAACCTCCAAGCACAGGCTATCAACTTTATCAGAGGAAGAGCAGAGTGAAGGAGAAATAAAATTAAAGATCAGTTCAACCCCCACACTGCAGAGGCAGTTTCAACTCCACTTTTTAATAGACGAAGAAATGGAAGCCGAGAAGGAGAAAGCAACACTTGGCTCCCACGTACAGCACGGGTGAGAGCGCCAAGGCCCTACCCTAGGCCGCCTAGGGCGACGCTCCTGTTCCTGCGCCCTGGGGAGGAGGTAAACCCTTCCTCCTCTCCCCCGAAGCCCCGTTTGCTGGATCGGACCCCTGGCCCCTTCCGTACTGCGGCGACCACGCAGAGCAGCTTGTCCTCTGGGGGCCTCTGAGGGGCCCTCGCGAGAGAGGAGGACCTGGTGGTCGGGAAGGCCGAGCGGAGCCAGAGGTGGGAGGGAGAGAAGAGCAGCTGACTGCCCACCGCAAGAACAGACTCCCAGGCGTCCTACCTCAAGGCGGCCAACAGGGGGCAGCCGGCACCGCACTGCGAGGATAAAAAGGCAGCGGGAAGAGCCGAGCTCGGTGCGCACGGTGCTAACCCCTTATGCACCGGGGCGCTCCGGTGAGGAAACGGAAAGGCCAGGGACTCTCGGGCCAGTCCTCCTGGGGAACGTCCTCCTTTGTGGGGCCCGGCGGGATTAAGGCTAGCTAGTAAGCCCAAGACGAGAACAACTGATCTTTTACTCCCCTCGCCCCCCCCACGCAGGGCACAGATCTACACACTCGGACACAGCTTCCACAGCGTCTCCACAGCTTGCGCACTCTCAGCATTGCCCCCTCTAAACTCCCCTGGCAGAGACTGTCTAGAAACGAAATCTCCCTATCAGGCTGGAGCAGCAGTGAATCTTGGCGGGAGGGCAGGGGCTGGGGAGGTGTGATCCCACCCCTGGCTCCAAGTGACTTCCAAACAGCGGGTTGTCCATTTAAAAACGGGAGAGGAGAAGGGGCCCCGATGCCAAACTGGACTTGGAAAGTAAGACAAGGCCCCGGGGTCTCCAGATTTGGGGTTCTTTCTAAAACATTTTTGGGGGGGGAGGACGAGCGGAAATTTGTTTGCTTTAAGAAACATCTTATTTTCTAGAAAAGCAAAATGGGAGAGGATCAAGAAAAGTGGAAATAAGGAGCGAAGCTTGGAGGACAGACAGAGGAGAAGTTGTTTGGAAAATAAGTTATATTGCAGGAAGAAATGTTAACTTTTCGCAAAAGTGAACTCCCGGTGACCCTCGCAGTGTGTGACTCGGCTTTAACATACAACTGACAATTAAAACAAACAAGAGTTCACAAACTGCCCCCCTCCCTCTCTCCCAAAGCGGAGGCCCAAATGTTTCCCAAAGGACAGGGCAGATTCCGCGCAGGGGGCCGGGGCGCGCTTTCCCAGCGGACGGGATTAGAGCCACCACTGCCAACACTCCCCGCCCCCATCACCGCTGCAAAGTGCCGGGGCTCACCCAGTGGCGGCTAATAATGCTACTAACGCAACCCGGCTCCCGCGCCGGGGTGCGCGCTGGCCCCCCACAAGGCACTCTTAAAGGCACACGGGCCTGCAGCGCTGGGATTCCCTGGCCGGAACGAGCCTGCAGCAACCTGGCCTCCCGCAGCAGAGGACGAGGGAAGAGGGGGCGGTGCACTGCTCTGGGGTGTCGGCTCCTAGTCCTGCTGCTGGGTCTCCCAACCAAGGAGTCCTCATCCCCTTTCTGAGCCCCGGCCACACACCCTCTTGGTGCCCGCGCAGTGGGCGCTTCGTAAATATTTGTTGAATTGAATCATTAGCCTGTTGCTGAAATATACATAGTAAATTACACTGGTGTTTCTCAGGGCAAAAAGAAAGTCTTCGGTGAACCGCTCTCAGTTCTTCTGCCTGGCTCATCCTCACTTTTTCTCCAAAGTCTAAAAGGTTTGCAGAACTTTTTGTGGGACGGGAAGTCTCCCGGGAGACAGAGGCAGTGCGCGAAGGGGGGCGGGTGGGTGAAGGGGTAGGGGTCCCTGCCAGCTACGCAGGAGTTCCAGCTTCTGGAGGCAGTAGAAGAAATGGAGGGATAGGAAGAGGTGTGTGTGTTGGGGGGGGGGGGGATCATTTAGCTTCCAAAAGAAAAAAAGAAAAAAAAAAAGTGGCGAGCGTCGGCAGCGCACAGAACACCTACCTTCATGGCGAGGGGGAGGGGACGCGGCCGCCGGGAGGAAGTCGCCACCAGAGCAAGGGCAGCCGAGGAATCCGAGCGGAGCGGCCGGGTTAAGCCTGGGGGGACGATCCGGCGCAGAGCTTCGGGCTCCTCCTGGGCGCGTCCGGCAGGCGCAGGAAATCGGTGGCGAAGCGGTCACTGGCGCCCGAGTCCGAGGGCCCGAGCCGGAGCAGCACCGGGATGCGCCCGGGAACCGAGGGGGCGCCGAAGCCCGCCAGCCGGCAGCAACAGCAAAGCCGGGCCGGCGCGCAACAAGGGAGCCGCGGGTCCGGCGAGGGCGTGCAGGCGACTGTTCCGCGGCGAGGCGCTCCCTCTCCAACGTCCATCAGCGACGGCGGTAATTAGGGCTTTCCAACCCCAAATGTGGGCGTGATTGTGCAAAAGACTTTACAACAAATAAAAAAAAAAAAATTCTTCACAAGAGGGTGAAAAAAATGCCCCACTACTCAACTCTGGCCCGGGGCGGGGGCGGGGGCGATCCGCGCGCCCAGGTGCCCCCAGTTCATTCACACCACGGATTCTGCAAACTCCCGGCGGCTCACGCCTCCTGATCTCCAGCTCCCTCCTCTCCCAAGTCTGTGGCCGAAACGTCTGCTTCCAGGCGCTGATCCTGCGGCCGCGAGTGAGTGTGTGGACGTCTGTGTACACACACAGACACACACCCACCCCCCACCCCCCACCCCCACACACACACTGAAGCTTTGGGGCCACAGAACAATCAAGCGCGCATGGCTTTTTCTCCGGGAGATGCCGCTGAAAATGCACAAGTCGCCATCCGGACTACAAGAGTCAGCACCAACTTTTGTCCTTTCATTTTAGGGTTTGGCAAAAAGGGGGCGCAAATTGGGTAAAAGTTGTCCCTCGAACGCTCTGCGCGGCAGTTTCGGGGGCGATGGGCGATTGCCCCAGGGGAGACACTGGCTCCCCCCCTCCCCACTCCCTTCTTTCTCTCTTCGGGTTAATCCCCGTCTTTCCCCCGCCTTCCCTAGGCGAAGGGCGAAGAGGGGCGAGGGCACCGCGGGCGTGGGGCTGGGGAGGGGCGAGGGCCAGGGGCTCCGCGGCGGCTGTTCAGCTCCGGCGGTCCATGGCCGGCGCGGCTGCCCACCTCCTCGTTTGGCGCCGGGGCCCGAGGGGCGGGCGAGCTAGCAGGCGGGCGGCGGGCGGTCGGGGGCACCGCGCGGCGGCGGCGGCGGCGGAGGTGGCGGGAGGAGCTCGCTCGGCGGCGGCCGCACCGAACCGGACTCCGGGCGGCGGAGGCGGCACCTTGGAGCTTGCAGCAGCCTTCCACGCGATCCTGTGCCCCGCAGACAGACTGACCCACCGCAGGGACCGCGACCCCCCCACCCACCCCCGGCCCTCCTAGCCAACTGCCTCACTCTCGCTCCCTCTCTCCGGACTCCTCTTTCCCCTGCTGTTCTCAGAGGGGGAAAAAAAAAAATTTTTTTTTTTTTTTTTTTAAGTTGCAGAACCAAAGGCGGCTGGAAAGAGAGAGGGAAGGGGGGAGAAAGGAAAGAAAAAACTCAACTTCGCCTATGCGCATGCGTGGTGAGGCCGGCCTATGACAAACTCCGCAGGATTTTAAAGCCGTACCACGGCTGGGGTGCAGGGGGGGTGGAATACGCTCCCTGTTGGAGCCCCCTTCTCTGGGCTCCCCATCCCCCAGGCATCTGCTGAAAGAGAGAGGTCCACTCCGCAGCGGCTGCCTGCCCACCGCCCGGCTGTCTGCGATCTTCCAAAGCCGCCGACCCTCGGGAGGCTGAACCCCAACTTCCCGGTCTGGACCCCTTGGCTCTCCTGTCCCGGGCCGCTCCCACTGGGGCTGCAGGGGGCCTGCTGCCCTAGCACGGAATCTCTGGGAGGACCTCCTCCCCATTCTTACCCCTGAGGGAGGGTCCCTAAGCCCCCGGGCTGGAGAACAGGGTAGACGCACACATCCTGCATCGCCCCAGTGTAGTAGATTTGGGCACTGGGGCGCGCGATTCAGCCTCTGGCTGCGACCCAGCGCACCCGGACGCGACGTATGGTGCTGCCGGGTGGATCTAGGCGGGTGTCCTCAGGTGAGAAGCTTGCAAAGTTCGGCAAAACCGGATTCCAGGCACTGAAACTTTTAGACGCTTGCGGACACCTGTGGTTGTCCCTGTAGGGACGCAGTTGGTAGATGTGTGCCCCCGAAGTCCAGCATGCCAGGGGCGCCACCCCCAAACCATGCTTCACACCGGAGCACAGTTCTTGTTCTCAGTCTTCCCCATCCTCTAGACATCCCAGGTGGAAGACACACACACACACACACTCACACACTCACACGGTATTCAGTTTCCACATCCAGCAGCATGCACTTGACCTTAAGGCGAAAACTCCGCAACCTGGGTTCGTGGGGTGGTGGTGGCTGTTTTGTTTTGTTCTTCCATCCCCAACTCCCACCGTTGGCTGACCACTCGCGCAGGGAAAGGCTCCTGAGACTCTGTCCCACCCTTCGCAGCCCCTTCCTGGACCTTACTTGTCTCAGCTGACGGGACCCCTCCCCAGTCCTGGCCTCCTTTTGCTAGGCACACCAAAATGGCAGTGTGGGCTTCCCAGGAACTGCAAGAGATGCCGGTTCTCCCTCTGGCCTTGCTTTCTTTAGCCAGGGGTGCAGGAAGCCTTAAGGAGGGGGAGCCCAAGGACATGAAAGCCCCTCTTGAGACATCTCCCCTTTATCTCCTGAGTCCCCTGTCCCCTCACATTCTTTAGGGCTTGACCACTTAACAATGACCTGTGGGCATTTTCCAGTTTTCCAATTTAGTCTGACATCTGGCAGTTCGAGGGGAGGGTCTAAACATGAGGAGTCTGTCCTGGGAGAACAGCCCCTTGGCAGGGCCCCTCCCCAGTTCCCTCTCTCCCTTTTTGGTTTTGACCTGCGTCTGTCTCCTGGGCAGGCAACCCGGATGCCCAGAGGCAGTGATTCAGCCCACCCAGTACGCATTGAAGACACTGGGAAGCGACAGGACATGAGTTGTTAAAAAATGGAGCTCTCAAAGGGTGCTAAAATCACTCCATGCCTGAGTGTCCCTGAGTCCATATAGATGGTCTTATTGCTAAAGAAAAAGGGCCATTTACTTGCTCCCAACCCTACAGCCTGTCCAGAAACACTGGCTACCCAACAAAAAACTTTTTCTAAAACTTGCCAAATTCTGAACTATCTGGATTATTGCCTGCTTTTCCCCAGTTGCCTTTGCTTATGTAGACACCAGCCCCAGTAGTTTCTTGGTCTTTTCTCTAGAGGAAGGTGGTGTTAGGTAGCGGTTGAAGGCAGACTCTGAAGTTCCAACCCTCCTGGGCTACTTTCTAGCTGTCAAATCTTGGACAAGTCATTTAGCCTCTCAGGGCCTCAAAATCCTCTTAAATACACATATAAACACACAAACAAACAAAACACAGAGAAATGTAATGATCTGTGGCAGGGGTGCAGTGAAAAGGAAATGGATGACCTTGAAAATCAGGAAGGAGGCAAGAACGAACAGGGAGGGTCATGGAGTACTTAGCGTGGGTCACTTGCCAGGCTCTCCATACCCTTGATTTAGTCCACTTGCAGGGAATGGCCACACTTTTCACTGAAGAAATATGACCAGCATTGAGTTATTGGGTACCTCCCCAGATTTCACTGGAGCCCTTTGCAAACTAAATCATTATATACCCCCTCCATTTTATCATTCCAAAAAATTCTGAAATTTCTGACACACCGACCTGGCCCCCAAGACTTCAGATACGGGACTGTGAATTTTCTCTGAAGATACTAATAATGGATGTGCTGAGATTTCACCCCACAAAGATGCAGGAGGCTCCCTAACAGTATCTTTCATGGCTGGAACACCAGCACTCAGGACAGTGCTTGGCACCTAATAGATGCTCGAAAATATTTGTTGAATGACCAAATGAATGCATGAATGGATGAAAGGATTATTTCCAGAGAAAGATGTCAAGGGAAGCCAACTGGAAATCCACATTGAGTTTTCAGTCCAGAGGTGCTTCTCTGGAAAACCAGGCTGGGTTGTAAGAGCCCAGCCCACCCCCAGGTGTTGGTGGAATTGGCCAGGAGGAGGGAAACCAGTGCGTCCCCATCTCCACCTCAAAGGTTCTTGTTCGATAAACCTCCCGTTTGTTGAACTCCCCTTGCAAACTGTATGCATTTGGGTGTGTGCATTCAGATTGAGTCATCTGCAGACACACTGGCAAGGTATCACAATGCTCCACTCATTAAAAATGCTTTTGAGTCCGTGGAACAAATAAATCAATATTCTTGGCTGCTCTCCCAACAGGGTTATTTCACAAAACAGAGTGCAAGATAAGGAATTTATGAACGATCGCATCCCTGGGCCGCCTTTCTCAGTGGGAGAAAGCAGGGCCTGGGTTGTCATTCTGGGAAAATCTACCCCCCCCCTTTTATGCCCGGCAAATAATATTTTATGGCCCTGGGTTTATGGTGGTGTTTTAATGATCCACCGTAGAAAGCGGTTTTCTCTCCAGTCACTAGAATTTGTTAAGAAGGGCTGGAGGCCATAAAAGAGGGATGGGCCCCAGAGACAAACAGGCTCCATCTTCTGAAATAAACTAATAAAGTACCCCAAGATGTTTACTCCTTCACCTCAGAGTCAAGACCAGCCAGGCTGCCTGCGAGGGGCCCACAGATAGAGCACTAAACAGGACAAAGAGGCCGGAAGGGGGTCGGGGGCTTCCTCACCACCGCATGGCCACAGTCAAAGTAATTCCGTCACATGGTGAGGCCACCAGCCACTGGGCTGGGGAGGTCAGGGGCTCCCTTGTGGGTAGAGGACATTTTTGGACACTGGGCTGACTCAAGCTTTTCTAGTACTGTGTTCCCCTCACTGAGAGCCCTTTTCATTTTTTATCATCAACGATGTTTTTGGGGGGTCTGAATGGATGCTTTTCTTTCTTTCTTTCTTTCTTTCTTTCTTTCTTTCTTTCTTTCTTTCTTCTTTCTTTCTTTCTTTCTTTCTTTCTTTCTTCTTTCTTTCTTTTCTCTCTCTCTCTCTCTCTCTCTCTCTCTCTTTCTTTTTTAGTTTTAAGGTACATCAGGGTCAAAAAGACCTGAGTCTGCATCCCAGCTCTGCCTCTTGCTGACTGAGTGGTCACTTCCCCTTCTGAGCCTTGTTTCCTCACCTGTAAAATGGAATGTTCTAACAATCGTGATGATGTTCCAAAGGCCTTGGTCCAGCCTCTGCCCATGGCAATAAGTGTTGTGATTATTTCAACACGAGGAATGTCTGTCCCTGGGTCCCTGGGTCAAATCCAGAGACAAATGAGTTGCCTAAGGAGGGTAGGAGCAGGGGTCCAGGAAAAGAAGAGAAAGGCGGGAGGTAGTTACGTGATTATCTGCAGTGTTTGCGTGATACCATTCAATAGGTATGAGGCTGAGAAGTGCCTGACATAGATAGTAATGACTGATGAGTAGTAGTAATGATTGCTGGTAACATTGTTGCTCTTACTGTGAGCCAGATGCCAGCCTGTTTGAGCTCTTAATATTCATTGATGGGTTTCATCCTTACTACTTCATGAGGTAAATCCTATTACTATCTGCATGATACGGAGAAGAGGAGAGATTTGAGGAGGTCGCAATTTCCATAAACTCAAGCTGTCTTAGTGTCCAAACCCCAGGGTATGAACCCTGGTAATTTGACTCTAAATAACAGAGGCTTAATGACCATACTTTATCTACCTATAAATAAAGACCAAACTCGTTTTTAAAAGTGTCTTCCTGGTTCCCCAAGTGTGCCCACACTTTTTTCTGGACCTCTCCCACACAAAGCTTATTTTAAGTGGAAAGAGTCTTTTCTGAAAGCTTTGGAGTTCACTCCACTAAGCACCAAACAGGAAGACCAGCAGAATCAGCCACACCAACCAGCCTGGTTGACGTCCCGTTTGGTGGAGCTGTCGAAGATTTGTCCTTTCTTCCTTAACTGGCTTACAGCGAAGCCCTCGTTCTGCCACCACCATCAGGAACCACAGCATCCACACTCAGCAATCCCCCTTGAATTCTGAGCTCCTGTGGGGCAGCGTCCTTTGACTTCCCTGTCCTCTGAAAAGAGTTGGGTCTGGCGCTTCTCCCGTGTTATCCTTGACAACACGGTCTCTCTCTCTCACCAGAATTCAGGGAAGTGAAATGAATAATGGCAGCTCAGATTTTATCATGCCCCTGCCTAAAGTCTTTCAAGGACTCCCTAGGTTACCAGATAAAGTCTAAACCCCTAGTCCCCACCTGCCTGCGAGGCTCATCAGTATGCACCCTGTGCATTTGCTGTTCCCTTGGCCCGAAAAGCTGTTTTCCTGACCTGGGCACTTGACCCTCCTCAGGTCACCACCTCAGTGTCCATATTAACTTCATGTAACCCCTGCTCCCCCTGCTGATGATCCTCTGTGTGATGTTCTTCTCTCATCCTTGATCTAAGATTATCTGATTTCCTTTGCATGCATGTTTCTTTAT